CCCCGCCCAGAAGGAAGGTCAGAACTGTGACAGTGGTCTATTTTATTTTATGATAGGATATTTTGCTACCATTTCTTAATTGGCTAAGGGCTTAATAATGAGATATTTCTGATTAAGCTCAGGAAGTCTGTTTCCAAAGGTCATGGAAAAGAGACCTTCAAGGTGCACAATGATGGAATGTAAACATTTAAAGATATAAAAGTCACTCAAATATACTCAGAAAAACTGAACCATGGTACCATTTGCATTGTGTGGCATCCTGGGGAAGATTCTTCCTCCAGGAAGAATGCCGGACTCTCTTCAAGATCTCCTAACCCATCTCCTGTGGTTTCCTGACTTTTCCTTTCAAGGTGGATGCATTTTGACCAGCAGGCGGAATGCACTGAGGGTCCCCTACCAGGGAAGAGTGTTTTGGCAACTCTTCCATGATGGATGAGCCTGCTGTTCCCACAGCTCGGCACACTTGCACTTGGCCAAGTTTCTGAAAGCTCTGTGGGCCTCTGTGCACGCCAGGCTCTGCTGGGAGGGCTCTGCTCGTGCCCCGCACTGGGCAGGTGAAGGGTAAAGAGAACACAGCATTTCGCAAAACTCCTTCAAGGGAGACTCCTGGGGAACTGAGAACTGGCCTTCAAGCAGGCCACAAAGGAGATCCTCACCTCAGTGCTTAATGCTTCCTGCCTGAGCCTCAGTGTCTCTGCCCTGCTCCACTCCCATGGCTTGTAGGTTTCCAGAGGCTAGATCTTCCATGTCAGCAAATATAACTGTTCCCAAGTGTACTGAATCCTGGTCAAGGTGCAGGTCTAGGATACCCCCAGATGACAGGACAATTTGCTCTTAGGTTCATTCAGCACAGACACACAAGAAAGGCAGGTGCTCTAGTGAAGGCGATCTCAACCACAGGATCATCCAGGCTTGTACCTTTCCCAAGATCTTGGGGCATCAAGGCTGTTACCAAACTATAAACCCTAACGAAACTATGCCCCTGTGCCCGTGGTCCAGGTCCTTGATACCACAGTGGCAGTGGGGGTGTGGGTAGGAGTGGCTTCCCAGAAAAGGGGAGCAGCTTGGACAAGCTCAACTCCACAACCATGGAAGAGCCTCAAAGAGTAGCTCTGGCTCCGTGACAGCAGACCTCTTTTTGTCACATGCGCTAGACATACAAGGGTATTTTGTGCTGCCCTTCCTAGCTCCTCAGTGTTACAGCGGTCACCTGAGAGTGAAGGAACCCCCAAGGGTATGTCCTGCTGACAGTAATCCCTGGCCTGGCCAGGAAGTGGGAGCCAGGTACTTGGGTATTTTCTCCTTTTGATGCCAGAGTACTGTCCTGAGGACAGACAGACCTCAGGGTCCCTGACTCTGGTCTGTGCACCTCCAAATCGCTCATGCAAACCCCATGCAAAGCAGGCTTCCTCGCTTATCTCAAGAGGAAGGCTGCAAATGTCCATTTGAGGAATGGTTTCCAGTTGGCGTGCACAGAGAGAAAAGAAACTGGAGTGAAGGCTAAACCCTGTTTCCTCCAAGATGAAGATGGGGAAGGATATGGAAGGTCATCAGAAAATTTAGGCTTGTGTGGCAAAAGAAGCATGTGCAGTGCCTTCTTGTGGATTCTTAGATACAGTGGTCCTCCCGTCATAGTGCAGATTCAGTTATTCATGACCATCTTTTGAGAAAGAGGGAGACCATGTTCACAAAGCTTTTACTAAAGCATAGTGTTAGGATTGTTTTGTGTTTTTTTACTCGTTGTTGTTAACCTCTTACTGTGTTTAATTTATAAATCAAGCTTTATCATAGTTCACATCACAGGATCAGGGACAGCTGTAGCACCTACAGATTCAAGAATCCACGGAGGTCCTGGCGATAAGGTGCAGGCTACCGCAGTGGACATTAGACTGCAGGTGGCTGGGGTGGGGTATTTCTTCCCTGCTCTGGGTCTGGGGAGATAGGGGATCCCAAAGAAGGGCACCTCCAAATGTGGACACCAGAATCCCTCATCTCTGCAGAGGGGGTCACCTCAAAAGGAATTATTGTCCCGGGATAAGGGCCGCCACTGGGATGGGAGTTGGATCCAGGGGGCAGGTGGCCTAGAGAGGCAGGGAACACAGGGAGAAGACACATGAAGACACGGTGAGCGTGTATCTACACCCAGGGCTCCTGCTCATTGTGTCACAGGTGGACTTCAGGGGCTATCGGCATGTGTCTTCTGTGACCTTGCCTGGCAGTTCTCTCTCTGTGTCCTAAAGGTGAGAGCAAAGCCCACTCTGGCCCTAAGCCACCACTGCCCTTTGAAAGTGACCATTCTAGGTAATGTCACCTGGTCAAAGTCTGGGGATCTTGGGACACCACTTGGTCTTGGTCCTGCCCATATTAATCACTGTGATGGCAGAGAGGAGCGAGGGGCAGGCCCAGCTTAGCTGTGGCACATGGTGGCAGCCTTCACACTAGAATGACACTGAGCCTCTTCTGGTACTGCTTAGGACTGTGATCACATGAACACGGGTCATAGGAGGGGACTCTGGGAGAACATAAAACCTACATGTCCTGGAGAGAAGACTGACCGCTTACACCTGGGGTCAGACCACGTGAGGAATCAGAACTCTCACCAGGTAGACAACAGGTGTTTTCCAAATGGAGTTGAAATAATACCTCATTGACTGAGCAAAACATAAGGAAATCACTTGAAGCATTTAACACTGAATGCAAGTAAAAGGTTTTATATAAAATATTTTATTAGCAGTCTTTATTTCTTAAAAGTATCTAACCTTATATTCACACATTCTGCACCTCCCCTGCCCTGCTGGGATTTTGTTTTCCTTTTTGTTGCACTCTAATTTAGCTGGCGTTTGACAAAAGCCTTGATAGGTGTCCATCACACTTTTTGTCATCTACACCACAGGCACAAAAGGAGAGCACGTTCTCTTTCCTGACGGGCGTTGAAAACTTAAGAGGCTACACGCCACTGAGATGAAGAACACAGTCAGACATGTGCCCACAGTACATTTGCACGCTGCCCCGGGAAGCTGAGACCAGCAAGGGCGGGACTCCATGAGACAAAGGGGACTAGACACTGACACCCATCATAGGCACTCAGAGGTAAGCCCCTTGCGGGGCGAGGGGTGTGGACCCCACTCTCATCTCAGTCACCTGTTCTGTTCGGTGGCAGAATGAGTATCTGAACATTGGCGTGAACTAGCACTTCGTGCCTGCCAACGTGTTCTTGGGACCTTTATGAACAGTAGGTGGCTCAGCAAAGCCAAAAAGCAGGGACTTTGAGGGCCAACCTGTGTTCGAGTCCCCTCTGCTCTTTTCCAGATTGAGGACCCCCCCACCAGGTATGTTGCTGAGCCTCTCCTGCCTCAGCATCACACATCTGCAAGATGAAAAGAGCGAAGGGTAGAGCACAGAGCAAGCCTGGAGGGCTTCCTTCCCTCCCCAGGGTGGGACAGCACCAGGCTGTGGAGTGGGCCAGTGAAGGTTTGATGAGTGAGTAAATGAACAGAGGAGACTGTAGGGTATCCAGCACAGCTCCTGAAACACTCATTGTGCGGGATCTCACGTTTTTCTGTTCCCCTGAGACAACCAGAAGCTCAAGGACATTGTTTGTCCCTGGGAGAATGACCTTTCTCTGGGTTTCTCAGATGAGTTTTTACCTAAAAGCTTTATGTTCCATTTCCTGGTCCTGAAGTTGCCTCCCCAAAGTAACACAGCAGTGTCACCAGCTGTCCTCCTCTCCTGAGGGACAGTCCCTTCCTCTGGAGAGAACCTAATTCTCTGGTTGATATTAAGGAGAGTAGAAGAAAGAGAGCGAGAAAAGTTTTGAATGGGGACAAAGTTGGGGGCCCCAAGGAGAGAGGTGAGCGAGCCCTTTCCCAAGTAGGGGCCTGGTGGGGGCCACAAGCTTCCTCTCTCTTGGGACAAGCTTCCTTTAAGTGGTTTCTCCCACATCACCTCTGCCAACACCAGGAGGCTGTGCAGCCTTTATCCAAGGCTGAATCCTTCCTTTCGGAGGAAGAAACTCAATCAGAGATGAATGCTTGGGTCATTACTGCCAGAGGTTCCCTAAAGGGATTACATTTGAAAGGTCTTGGCTTAAATCCCAGCAGAGGGAAAAGCAACCTCCTCCCCTCCATGATGGGGGACTGTCTCAGGTCCTTGCAGTAGGCCATTTAACCAAATTACCCTAAAACACAAAGCCAAGAGAACAACCTGGAAGTCTAGACTACAATATCCAAATCCCCACTGCCCAGTGTGACAAGGACAGCCCCAAAGCAGGACACGGGGAGAGGGACACAGGGCACAGCTTCCCCAGCATGGCCATGGCTCTTCTCAAGCCTGTAGGAGTGGGTGAACAACACTGTGTGTGGAAGTCTCCACCCCCTACCTGCTGTGGTCAGAGTCCTTGAAAAATAAGTCCTGTGTCACCCTGTCTGCCAGCAGCCTTCAGTCCTTACCTCTCCAAGCTCCACCCCTTGGAAGGCCTCTGGTCACATCCTTGTTTATTAAGAAGATCACAATAACTTGTTCACAGTGGAAAAGGGACATGTAGAGGTGTGATTCCTGGGGACAGAGGTCCTCAGAACTGGGTGCTCTCAGAGACCAGGTTTAAACCCAGAGGCATCTCACTGGTCTTCCCAAATTGCTGAGACACCGCCCTCCCTCGCAGGGGTCAAGGAAGCTGCCTTTGGAGTAGAGCTGGCCAGCCCCACACGGCACGGTGCCTTGTCCTTACCAGACCCATGGATCACAACCCTAACCCACAACTGGAAATGTAGAGCGGACAGGTTCCTTCTGCTCTGACCTCACCTGGAGTGACCCTGAGGCACGGTCACGGACTTCTTGTTCTCTCAACTCTATACCTCACCAGTTGTCATGCAGTCTCCACGCATGAAGTCTCACACTTATCTTGAAATTAAATGAAGATTTTTTTTTTTTATAAAGGCTGTTTGACCCTGGTTATAAAACTGAATCTAGAAGGCAAGGCCATGTTTGCACAGAATAAGCAAATTTAAATTTTCACTTTTAATATATATTTCAATTGCATTTACTAAAAAAGCTGTGATAATAAAATGGAATGGACTGCCATGTATTTCCAAACCAAATCCACACACAAGTAAAACCCAGACCCTCCTCATTCTCTGTAAGTAGGGAATGAACGTATCAGGTTCACAACCTCACAACCTGTCGGAGCCGAACATGACCGAGTGCAGTCATTTACAGACAGAGCTTGCAGAGGTTAACTGATCTCACAAAACACTCTTTCACAGGAGGCCCCGACCCGACCCGACCGCTAGGACAACAGTGCTCTGAAGGGAGGAAGCAGTTGCATTTCCCTAAAGGTGACATCCACTGGCACCTCCCCGCCTGTCCAGCTGGCCCATGGCTCACACTGCCCGGGTTGCCCCAAAGCTCGGCCTCCACGCTCCCCGGAGGTAGCTCATGTGATATGCTAGGAAAGGGAACTTGGTCTTTAAAAATCAACATGGTGGGTGTTCTGCACACGTTTTAGGCAAAATGAAAGTACTCAGAAAGTTAGCAAGAAATAATCTGTTTTGTTTAAAATGACACCCATATAGAAAAGAACGGGTCATGAAGGACCTGTTCGAATTCCCTTATGACTGATTGTATCACTCTTAGTCGGTCAAGTGCAGCCAGTATTCTGGTCTCCCTGCACTCGGGGCACCTTCCTCAGGTGTGTGTAAGTGAGACCCGCTCAGTGGCTAGGCCCAACCCATTCCTTCTCTTATCGAAGTTATGTTATTTACCCTGAAAAACTCCTCAACAATTATTCAAAAGATACACTTTAAAAAAAAGTGAAATTTATCGACTTTGGCTCCGAAGGTAACTTCCATCAGAAAAGAGACGAAACTGAAAAAGATGACACGGTGAGAAACGACAGTCACAAAATGGAGTCACGCCACACTTAAACTTTCTTTCCCAAGACATTGAACTTCCCAGCGAAATTCCTCAGCCAGGACAGATGCGACCTGGACATCAGGTGGAATTTCTCCAAGGAAGCCTTTTGTCACCAGCTGTGTTGCAGGATTAAATTCTGCCCCAGCCGTGGTATTTTAAATTCTGCATGTAAAAAAGCAAACCTTCCTACATCTTCCTAGTTTTAAAGCTAGAAAAAGTAAAGGAGGGAAGATCCAGCCCGGCTGGGCAGAGAAGTTGAACACCGGATACCATCAACCGCTGTGGTCTCCAGGTTAGGTCAGGATAGTCTCTGTGTCACCAGGTGCAGGTGCCCTGCCATTATTCAGCAGAGCCCTTGGCCACACGACTGATTTGCCTCTTTCCTGGCATCTGGGCGTTTTACCTCTCTGCTCGGATTTTGTACCTCAGGACAAGATAGGCAATGAGGCGCAGGGAGATGAAGAAGATCCCAAGCACGATGAAATCCAAGTAGAGCTTGGCGTTCTCCACGTCCAGCTCTCTCAGAATGGCCTCCGACTTCTGAAAGTGGCACGTCTCGTCAATGTCGCAGTGCAGGTCTTCTCGGTCCAAGCCATAGATGGAGAGGATGACACCCTCAAAGCCGTACCTAGGCAGGAAAGCTCAGTCATCAAATGAGGGAGACCCTCACCCACCCGTGCAGCCATTGCTAACAGGCAATGCTGCTCGCTGTCTTGTCTGCCGGCTCTTGGCTGACCTCCCAAACAGCTTCCTCCCTGAATCCACATCTCCCCACCCAAGCACATTCAGCAGCCTCACCGCCATGTTTCTAATTTTGTCACCAGCAAAACCCATATGGAGTCAGGCGCCAGTGGCTCACGCCTGTAACCCTAGATACTCAGGAGGCAGGGATCAAGAGGATTGTGGATTCGCAGCCAGCCGAGGCAATTAGTTCTCCAGACCCTATCTTGAAAACACCCAATACAAAATAGGGCTGGTGGTGTGGCTCAAGTGATAGAGCACCTGCCTAGCAAGGATGAGGCCCTGAGTTCAAGCCCCAGTACTGCAAAACAAAAACAAATGTAATGAACAGTAGGGGAGATGAATCAAAAATACTTGGACTCCTTCCGACCTTGTATACTTTGTAATGGTTAGCTATAATAGTGTGTTGGATATATCCTGGCAAGGACACTGGAGCACTTAAATAAACACTGCATCATCTTCCATTCTGCTCCAGCTCTGCTTTGGCAGAACAAAAGCTCCAATTTTCAGAAGAAAGACAGTGGGCTCTGGTTTCTTGGTATTGGCAAGCACACCGATTGTTGAAACTCAGTACAAGGACTTTGTGTCATCTTGTGTTTTCCTGAACAATATACCTGGGTCTGAACTGACACTCTAGAAAAGCAGCACTTGTTCCCAGCTGGGATCTTGTGTGTCACAGGGAATGGCTGAAGCTGGGGCCCTGGTGGCGGGAAAAGCTCTAAAGATAGGCACTGCCCACGGGAGGGCCAGCGTGCAGTGCTCAGAGCCACTGAGCAGAGGAAAGAGATCTGATAGTCCGTGGCCCAAGGACTACAATATTCTTGTCAGAAGATATTGGGGTGTTTAAAAGATGACTCATTTTTTCTGGATTTCTTATTTAGGTTTTATAATCCAGATTTTGTTATAGTATTTTGATAAAATAATAAAATATGGATACACAGCCGCCACCTCAAGCAGCTCTTGGAAACACCCATAATATGAGGTGCATGTGGTTTCTTAAGGTATGACTCATTAACATTTGGGGGGTGTGTGTGCGTGTTCTGGCAGGGGTGGGGCACACAAAACTAGGGAAAACAGAGCCACACTTAGTGGACACCCAGGAAGTGACTTTTGAGATCACCTCATTCACTGTCCTTTCCTGTTGCCACTAAGTTCCCGGGCTCCCATGTGCTACCTGACGTAGGAGATGTAAGACATCCATTGCAGGTAAGTTGGGATGGTGTCAAAGCTGACGAAGAACCCCGAGAAGAGCAGGACAGGGATGGCCGTCACAGGACCCACGAATGTTGCCACCTGGGTACAGGGCAAGGACACAGCAGAACTCACTGGAGGAGACAGAGGTAATCCCGCCCAGTTTCCTGCTCAGGTGACTGAGGACGGTCACCATGAGCTGGAAAGATGAGTCACGTAAGATCCAGAGTGTTTGTGGCACAACTAGGACCAGGGTTGGAATTGTGAACATCCCTGAAGACAGGTCAAGTGGCCTGTCTCTACACTGCAGGGAGGCTCATCAGCCCCAGCAGAGGAAGGGACTAAGAAAAAGATGCAGTATCCTGAGGGCAGAGGCCAGGTGCCTTCTGGGAGTGGTCAATGGAGATGTTGAGGGGCCAGCACACAGCTGTCCCTGGAGCTGACAGCCAGGTGGTATCACCACTTCTGAGGGCCCCATCTTGAGGTGGAAGTATTTAAATCAACCTGCTGTGACACTGGCAGCCTGTGTCTGGACCCGCAGGACCCACTAAAATGCCCTCCTGGAGGTTAATGGTCCTGGCACTTGCTAG